ATATATATATATATATATATATATATATATATATATATATATAAAATCGTAATAAGTACGTAAGGATACATTATCGGTAGATTTCGATTAGATCAGGCTGAACTCGTTTTGCTTCTTATCCGATGCAGCGGTCAATACAGCTAATGCGATACTGTCGACAAGCGGAAGTCAAACGTCCAAGGATCAATTACAAAATAGCAGATGGAAACGCCGCTGATCTTGTTTCCAATAGCTCGGGAGCGTTGTGACGTATTTTCAGAGGCCATGATCGCGACGCGACACGTCCAAATTCCGCCCGGGCGGGTTCGTCTTGACTCGACACTAGTTTCCGTATTCCAAATAATGAAATGGACGCCAGATGCGGAGACAGCCGCATTACCAGGGGGTCAGATCCCCGGATTCTTCCGCACGATCGGCGGACGCCCGCCCGGTACAGGCGCGACTAACTCTCGCGATAGTTATCCACGGAGGCTCAGAGCTCAGAAGAGCGTGCAATAACGATATAGACACGAGTTTCCCGATGTTTACAACGGTTTATTGAATATTACGCAATACAAAATATACGCGACGCTACGCTACGCTAAACACGGAATACGCTACACGAATTTATACAAGGTCCCCGCTATCCAGTACGCTATTTACCGCAAGGCAGCTCGCACACCGCTGGTTCACATTAGCCGTGAAAGTCTATTGAGTTTCACGCGTCGCTAGTGCACGTTAGTAACTGGAAGCGGAGGACTTACGCACTGAAGCTTCCGGTATAGCCCTCGGCCCTGGCGAGCTCCGGGAGGTGCGTCCACGGCCGGTCATCCTTGGAGTTCCTGGGGTCCGTCCGCTTTTTATTCCTTCGGGTCCGACTGTCCTCCTCTGGCCGATGCTCCTGCTTTTTGCCTGGCACTCACTCTCTCACTGCCGAGTAACCACGAGACTAGCGAATACCTCGACGAATTGTATTTCTTGAATGCTTTGAACGTTAACTACTTCTCGAGCGGGAGCCACAGGGAAGAAGAGGTTCCCTGGCGTGGCCTTGGCCTATTTATCAGTACCGCGAAGCGGTGCTTCCGCCTCCTGATCGCGGGACGGTTTCCCTTCCTATCGCCTCGCTGTTGTCGGTTCGGGTTACGGCGAAGCGCTATGAACTGTTCGCCATACAGTGTTTTTTGTGACGGGCTAAAATGCCACCACATCACAGCGTGTAATTAGATATCAAGTTTTACATTCGGTTCACAGCGGCGGTTCACGGCGAACCTAAATTTGACTTCAAAGTCCCTTGAACTCATCCCAGCCACCCATGTCGCAGCAAAGGTATACGCAGCACTTAATTAGAGAGTATATCTGATGCGCATTGCAAATACTACTTGCACTTTGTGCGGACCGGTCTAATGACACGTCAGTGACACTTATTTGCTTGCATAAATCATGCACGGCTCGGGTAGCCGAGAGGCGCGCGCAGAACTTAGCCGGGAAATCGATGTCCCGTGTTCCCAAAACTTTAGTGCCACTTGTACTTAAGTATAAGGTTGCTCATGCACGAACTAAAATTGTTTTCTATATGCGTGCACGAAACGTACGCAGTGTATCCACCGACGAGTAAGTAGATGGTCGCGGTACATTGTTGCTTCGGGCAATTTATAATTCGCGACGCAGTTCGAAACGAAAATCTATTTGTAATTTAGCATTGGTGCATGTTACATTTGTATATTGCTGTGATAATGGTTAGTGGACCGTAGAAGTGTCTTTTTTACGAGCACAGCTCTTCTTCTGTCGCCACTTTTAGTCTCAGACGATCTTAAGAGACCGTGGAAATAATTAATCGTATCGTTGATGTGTGATAATATAAATCTCCTTTAAGAGATTTTCGAAAAATATTTTTTCCTCGTTAACTTTTTGCAGCGAGACGCTGTTATTTCACCTATAAAACTCTCTATTCAATACATTTATTTATACTTGTGTGACGATCACACAAATCACAAGTGCATTCGTAATCTGTATCATATTGTTTGTTGCTGATAAAGCGACACTGCATCCTGTGATCTTAGTCGGGACAGATGTATATACACGCATGTACATAATTCCCAGGTCGTCTGTCGCAACATACGTAATTGTTCGTTGTATATGTATCCGGAGAATATGTGAAACAAGAGCAGAATTATCTTTCGCGTACTCACACGAAACCACTGTTATATCTTTCTTGTGCCAAAAGACCGCGGGAGAAGAGTGAATATACTCATGTGACGTTTTCAGGCACGATCACCTGCCAGGTATGAGTTGGAACAGTCAGGAAGACGAAGCACGCAAGGGGAAACATGTGTTGTCCATTGAACGTTACATTCCGTTTTTGCTGGTAGCGCTTAAGTACGCCCGAATGTGTCCCGCTGAGTCGTTTCCGACATATAAAATAGTATTCTTAACGGGACTGGTGGTTTTCATAATCGTAACAATATTTCTGAATGTACTGTCGGAAGTTGCCATAATTGTAATAGGCATAGATGGAGATGGGATTGCTGATGTCATCAGTGTATCCTCTACGTGGGTCGTAGGTCTACTAAAATGGTGTTATTGTACAATATACAATAGAAGACTTTTCGATATCGTGAAGAAATTGGAAAGATGTCATGTGTTTTGTCAACGTATTGACAGTACTATGGAAGGTACGCAAGCTACTCACTGTTGTCAGCGTGACTTATCCATATATCCCTATATGTATTTCTAGATTTATCCTATAAGACAATTTTTGTAATATATATGTTATCAGCTTGAGAATCAAGAGAGATTATGGTTATTGCTATCGCAGCATACATGACTATATATGTTTTCATCAAATCATGGGTTATTTTTAAGATTCTAACGTTTAATAATTCCCTCAGAGATGCGATCAGCTTTCTGATAATGCATAAAGTTTTTTCTTTCGCGTTTCATTAATATTTATTTCTATATACTAAGATTACTAGAACGGCAACTTTTTAGGACGCGAAATTTATATGAATGAAATTGAATCCGCACGGCAGTATTGCAACGTCTTCTTCGTATGGTGGTTATGCATGTGTAACTTCACAGTTCTTCAGTGGTGTGTTGCCCCGCTGCTATCAGGAACTTACAAGATGTACTTGATCAATGATACATTTACAGACAGAGATTTGCCTTATATCGCATGGTTTCCGTTAGATACTCACAGCAGTTATAATTATATTTTTCTGTATATGGTGCAGGCATTCGGAATGTTCTCTTGTGTTTTTGGAATTGCTTATTTCGATTGCTTTTACGTTTCAATGCTGATTGTCATCTCTGCACAACTTCAATACATCAATACGATACTAACCAAAACTCAACACACTGAGAACAAACGGTAAAGTTATTATATCATTAACATCCATATATTTGCTCATTACTATTACCAGATATTAAATGAAAATGTAATATTGAAATTGCAGAGCGCCAGAGACGGTATCCAGCCTCATGAAAAAATTAAAAAATTGTGTGGCATGTCATGCTGAAATTATAGAGTAATATCTTTATTTCTAATATTATAATTATAACAATTGAAACAATTCTAGGAGAACTTTAATATAACGTTATTTAATATAACGTAATTATGTAATTTTCGCAAAGATCTATGACTGTATTAATAAATTCTAAAATATAATCATTAACAAATAGCAGCATCTTTGAGGGAAATATATAATTTTAGATTTTTAGATAAATTACAAACTTTTGCCAGCCCGATTATGTTCGCCCAATGCATCGAAACATTATTTGTCCTTTGTTTAGTCTCCTTCGAAGCGTCAGCAGTCAAGCTTACGGTACGAATTATTTTATTGATATCTTCGATATAGAGGCATTCGACTCTACCGTACACAATCTATGTTTTCCCCTGAAGTTTGGGAGATTAAACTAAAAAATTTATATTCCAACAGATGGATAAAGAAAATGCTCTCGTATTGATTAAACTGATTGGATACTTCTTAGCTGTTTCAATTCAACTGGGATCCTTCTGTATCTTCGCTACTCAAATTACACATTTAGTTAGTCGTGTACACAAAAATACTAAAACTTCATCTTTTTCTAATAAGTTCCTAGGAATTTTACAATTAAAAACTGTATAATAGAATATCAGATTTAAAAAATCGAATAACTATTATATTAATTTTAATCTGTTATGCTATTTCAGGCATTGCAAATTCCGCATTCGGTATATTCCTGCGGATGGGAGATTACGATTTTCGAACAAAAGCAGGAATCCGGTACCAATAAAACATTTAAGTGCTCTGATATCGATGCATTGATACAAATGATAATGTTGCAAGCACAGAGACCGATTATGTTGACAGGTGGTCCATTTTACATACTTTCAATGGAAACTTTCAGAGCCGTAAGCAGTTAGAAATTGATCTATATCATCGGTGTCATCGATTTTATTTTACTGCTGCACCAATCTTTATAACATTGCGGAAGACACAGTCAATCACATTTGTCTTGTGAATTATTGTGCACAACTGTAAACTAATCTTCTTTAATTAATAACCAAATATGTACGTAATCATTTGGAAATTGATAGAGGACATTTTTTGTTCGGTTCAACCTAATATGCAAATAAACAGCGACAGATGTCATCATAGCTCATCTACCGTATAACACGCGATCATTCATGGATCTTCTTTGATTAATAACTTAGAATTTCACGTGTTGTTTGTAAAATGATAGAGAAATTTTTTGTTCAGTTTGACCTAATCTATAAATTGCGGTTCCTCTGTGAGTTACCGAAAACCTTATAGATATGGATCGCAATAATAAATTCTGTTCACACACACACACACACACACACACACACACACACACACACACACACACACACACACACACACACACACACACACACACACACACA